CGCAAGAACTCTTTGTATTTTGACTGAAGCCAATTGCTTTTCATATTGTAAACGTCTAACACACAGCCCTTCACTGCTTCCACAAACACCCCCCCCCACGTGCAGTGAGCAGGGGAATGAGAGTTCATAGGTTAAGCACAGAAGCTGTCCAAATCAGTAGGTCAGCTGGCAGACAGAGGAAATGACAGGCTTAATGACTGGCTGCTGCTGCCGCTAATGACGCCCTATGCACTGCTAGCTGTGTGGAAGAGGAGCCTGACTGACAGATGCACACACACACACACTTGCAGGTGCAGTCACACACACACACACACACACACACACACACACACACACACACACACACTTACAGATGGAATCAGCCCTCGGCCCCTCATGCTCGATGAGCTGTAATTGGTGGTGAGACCCGACCATCCAGTCCTGAGAGTCAGAGGCCCCGCTCACTTCTTTAACAGCCCATTAGCGGTTATTAGGGGTTCCTCAGGGAGTGGTACGGGTCACAACACAGCGCTAACCTAGCCATGATTAATAACCCGCAAGATTTAATAGAGAACATGCTGCTGCGGTCAAAGTAATGTGTGACACTGGAGAGGGTGAAAAGATAAGAAGCAAATATGATTTATTATTAAATATATATATGTTGATACGTCCAGTCATGTCTGACGTTAACTGGTTGTCATAGCTGCATGGCTGACTTTTTGCTTTATTGATAGGGTACGTAAAAAAGTGCCTATTTTAGAAATAATTGAATATTGGTTAGGAAAAAGACGCATGATGCAATAAACAAAAATAGCATAATTGGGACTGAAACCGTTTGATGTATTGATTCAAAAACAGAATGTCAATGCCAGAGCCGTGTGAGGGAATCTTCTTTTTTATTTATAAGTGAACATGCAAACGATTGCAATATCATACTAATGCATACTTTCATTCATACTTTGTATTAGCATATGTTGGTATCGGTTGAATTTGAACACAGAAGTGTGAGTGAAAGTGATAAGACATTTCAATTTGAAAGTGAAATGTATGAAAAGTTGACCTTTTTGAGGTTTGCATCATTCTTTAATTTTAAAAGTTTAGTTTTGAACTTAAGACTTTATGGGTAAAAAGTCAAAACTAAGCTTTAAATAGTGTGATTATTGAAATTCTACAACATGTGACTGTATGCGATTGAATGAAACAAGAAAGTGAAGAGCCTGTGTTTTCCTGTCCTCCTCCTCCTCCTCCTCCTCCCACACACAAACATGCACACACCTGGGCACGGGAGCGAGGGGTTGAACAATCAGAGCAGCGATGCATGCCGTGTGACTAAGTGACTGTAAACCTCCAGACAGACTGGGACTCAGCCTGTTAGTGTGTGGCAACACCGAGATAGCTCATTACCCATTCTGTTCCAATTGAATTTTAACCAGCGTATTTGTTCCAGTGTAAATTCTGACATTTCAATATGCCAACAGAGAAATCAGCTCATGTGGCATGCCTGTTTATTGTTCCCTGAAGAGAAAACAGGAACGTGTGAAACTTTACTGATAAAGAGTCTCAGGCCAAACAAGAGCTTCTATACCACAAGTTCTGCAGTGTTCACCAAATATATAAGACTATTAAAGATATTTCTAATATGACATGGATTACAATTTAATAATGTTTTCAATGTCATACCAGTAAAGGAAACAAAGTAAAGTAGGATTAGAAGGCCTAACATAATTTATGAATTATGCTTTTGACATGTACACCATTTGTTAGTACTTTCAAGCCATAATGTATAAAACCAGAAATATTACTAAGATCATTAATCTCATATGGCCTACTGTCGAATAAGTGGCAGAAAAGTGATGGGTGGATTCAGCTCATTCGTTTCTTTGCTTGAATTGACACTTGACAAATATAGCTCTCTCAACCAGATTTAAGTTAAAACTAAATGATAGTCTTCAGTCTGAATCACTTCACAGTGTATATCAATTGCAGGTAACCATAGTGACAGTACTAGTTAACTCTCTGGTGAAACTAATATAACAGTTGGTTAAACGACCAATAAGTAATGAAACAGTCAGGTGTCTCAATATGACATAAAAAAGGAAACGTTGTTGGAGTTGAGTCATCTTTAAAGTGAGTTGCTCAGTCAGTCTCAAAAGTGAGTATGTTTTGTTCAAATTACTGTATGATGTGGTAGCATCAAGCTGAATAATTGTTGGTATGGTTACGCAAACTTGATGTAGAAAGTGGTGAAAGTATTGATTGTTGTATTTTAAATCACATCGTTCACTCATTCTCTAATAGGGCATATTATCTATAAACGCACTGCTCCCTTCAGAACCATGTGTTGTGTACAGACAGTCAAATCATTCCTTTTGCAGAATGGAACTTCTTTGATTATTAGATAATGTAATATTGCATCTGGTTAATCTTAAAAACAAAATATTATACACAAATACATTTATTTAATCTAACTACTCTGAATATAAGACAACAACAATCAATATTTTACTGAGATGTAGACCAGTGGTTCTCAAAGTGGGGGGCGCAGAAGCATGCCAGGGAGGGCGCGAGAGACCAGGAGGAAAAATGGTTATTATAAAAATAAAAATAAATTGAAAAAGTATTGATTCGAAAATAATATGATGCAGTACAGTACTATTACGTCTGGGTCTCTGTGTTTCATTAGAGCTTGGCTTTGTGTGTGTGTGTGGAACGAGCCATTTTGTGTGCGCGAGAGAGAGCGAGAGAGAGCGCACCGGTACCGGAGATTGTTGTTGTTAGCTTCTGGTGCTAGCGAGCTACGATAACGGATATAAGGAGTTTTTTCAACAACAAAGTGGAGGAGAGTCCTCTCCTGTCAGACTGGAGACTCAGTGAGCTAAAGGACTCTCTCAGTGTTATATCAGTGGGTCTCAAACGTTTTGGTCACCATTAATGTAAACAATTATTTCCGAGGCACACGTTTATATGATCATTATAAAAAAATAAGAGAATAAATGAAAAACAGGTATGAAATACTATATGATATTAAAAATAGAATAACGTTTAAAAGGGTGATTTGTAAAATATCCATAAAGAAAAAGTAAATCTGTTTACAGTTCTGTTTCATATGGGTGTTGAGAGAGGTATCCATAGATCTCTTCATTTTGCTCTCAAAGTGCACCAGATTGATGCTTTTAACTTCAATATTTAAAAAAAATCTTCCCGGGGGAGCTTGCCCCCGGACCCCCCTATGTAAGGTCCACACACCACCTATAAAAATAGCACTTTACCCCTGCTTACACCTATATGCCGTGAGCTGATTATCTAGCCTTCATTGTAACAGTCGCGGGTACACTGTATATGCATGGGGAATGTTGCAGTAGAACATTCCACTGTAGCACCCGGTACATTAATGGGAAACCCTAAATGTTTGAGCACCCTCTATGAAACGTCAAGCTACCCCACAGCACCCCCAAAAGAAGTCTCTGGCGCCGCCACTGAGCCTAACTATTTGTGTTGGGGGGGCCCGACTTTTTTTTTCTTCTCCAAAGCCCCCCTTTGGAGAAAAAAAAAAAGTCGGGCCCCCCCGCCTGACAGAGAAAGTTTGAGAACAACTGATGTAGACACATGTTGAAAATCCACAATAAAAGTAGATTGGTAAATAAAAATAAAAACCTCTAAACATCGGTCTACTTATGTTCAGTCATATCCACATCCCAAAATGTTTTTTTGACAATGCCGAGTCCAACTTGCTCCACTGACTTCCTGTCAACTAAACTAACTGTTTGTATGATGATCCACTGTAATAATGACAAGATTGGGCAGATTAGTTGCCAAAATGAATCTCAATTTAAATTAGTTACAATCACCGGGGTAAATGATTACTGCGCTTACGGGACAAAGCCGCTGTAAACAAAATGCAGTTTGTCCTGTGCAGTGAAGCCAAAATGAGCTAGCAGCTTGAGCTCCAAAAGTCACCAAAGTTCCCCAGATATATGCCGAGTTTCCCTTCGGTCATAGCACGTATATTTGCACAAAGCTTAAGACATGAGACCTCCTGCGCATGACACAAAATGAGAGGGATGGGCCCCTTGCTGTTAGTAGGAGGGTCATGGACTGAAATTACTCTGAGCAGCATTTGAAATAAATATAATTATTTTTCTAGCTATTTCCCTGATGGTAAAAAAAGTTGTTAAATTTGTCGCAGGCTGTAGGCTCTGAGGAAAACGGTAAACATTTGTTGTCTTTGTAAAAGCAGCGCTAACAATGACATTACATGGAATCGCAAGAGAGGGAAAAGTTACGAGTAACTATCCTCCTAAAAACGTATTTGTCTCAAGGTTTGCAACTAGTGATTCTAATAAGAGACATTTTAAGATATGAATAAGAAGATCTGAAATAAGTGATAAATGGCTGATACCACACATCAAAGTACTACGTATATTCTGTTTCATCACGGCCGCATATGTCACATAGTGCTGCAATAACTTTGTTTTCATATGTTGCATCGTACTAGAGTAGAAAATATCGCCTAAAACACACACAAAAAACAAATAAGTATTGCATTTGGCTGTTTGAACAGTGGCAAATCATAATTCCCACCAACAGGTGTAACTAATAACCAAGACAAACTCAAAGACATTATTTCTCCTGTTGCACTAAAAACTCTGAAGTTAAGCTGAAGAAAACCAGACATAAAGCGACAGGTATGAATACATGTTCAGAAAGAGCAAGAAGAGGTAAAGGCTCAGCATTAAACAAATTAACACACACATGTATGAATGACAACCAAAGCGTTATATCAAATATCAATCAATATTGATCAATATCAAAGAGTCAAATATAAACCAAATTAATTTCAGGCACTTCAGACGACAAATTAGATAGTCATGATGAGTTTGCAGGAGAAAGGCAATGGCTGTCACTTAGGTCAAACTTAGTAAAGGGGTAACATAGCTAGATAGTAAGAAGAAGATAGACATAAAAGGAGGAACGAATAAAGAGAAAAACACATATCTGTAGTCATATAAATTGTCACTCACCAGTGTGCGCAGTGCCACAGGAAACATCAGGTAACCGCCCAAATGAATCTGTAGGCCAGAGACATGTAAATGCACTTTAATTACATTTCATGATGAATTATTGAATAATTTCAACTTCACGAAGAAGTGCCAAGAACATAACTCATTTTAGGTTGTCAAGCAGATAACCAATAATCACAGCTTTGATTTCAGTGAGCCGGGTAAATACATGCATTATTCAGAATATTCTGTTACTCTTTGTTTCAGTTAACAAGTTAGTTTGAGATTGCAGGAATGTATTCCAAGGTTTCGAACCGGGGAAATTCCCGTGCAGCCTGCTCAGGTGTCACTCAGGTAATAATCCAGCAGATCCATGCAGGTAGAGGCTGAGTGTCCTTCAGCAGTCAGTCGCTCTAATCCCAGAGGAGGAAAACAGTCTGCCTCCTCTTCCCCCTCATGCTCCCTCAGTACATTGATCCATGTGGGACGTGTCATCTCCTCCTTGGCATCTTCGTCTCATGGCTGGACGCACCTGCAACAGGACGACAGGTAAGAGGAGGCTCAGTGTCGCTAAAGCCATTCTTTCACCCTTCTCTCCTCAGCATCGACAACGCCGTCTGATCCTCAGAGTGTCTCTGCTGAGAGAAGCCGGGCACAGCCGTCCTGTTTTGCCGCTCTTTGCCAAACACACAAACACACACATACACAGAGGAGAGTGTTGTGTTTTGTTTTTTTCAGCAGCAGAGCTAACCCTGAGCCGGGGCCCGGTCTGCCTTTGAGATGCTCTCTAGCCCACAAACACAAGACGGCTTTCATTATCTTGCCCGTCGCAGCGCAAGGCCTAGCTTCTAAAAGCTACTGATTTCTTTCTTCCCTTAGCCCCCTGCACAAAGGGAGGGCATTTTGTAAATTACTTGCTCGTTTCAGACCAACAAAAGGTACTTTCATTGAACCCTCCTCCCCCCACTGCTCTCCCTCTATCCTCCCGCCATTTGATTTTGCTCAAATTTGATTACAAGGCTTGCAAAAGGAGGGGAATAAAAGAGAAGAGGAAATAAGAAAGCCCCACAGATGGCGTGTTCATTCAGTGCTGTGAATGGCTTTATATGGGCTGCCTTTATACATGTGGCAATCCAAAGAAGCTTCAGCCTCTACGCTAAAAAAAGAACTTGACAAAATTATTGGTTTGGTGGCTTCCTTACACGACTGACACAGGGAACGCTGAAGAAAGAAAAGCCTGCTTTCTCTTTCTCTTTCTTCCGCTCGCCTTGTCTCTGCACCTCGCTCTGGGTCGTACACCTTAATCAAAACAAACTAAATGAGGTGTTTGCCTGCATGCGTGCATGTTGTCATATTAATAACCACCTGCCCTGGCTTTACACTAGGCCACATTCCAAGACAACAAAGTCACATATTCAGCAGAATGGACAGGAATGGAATTGATAACATGAGACATGCTCTGAACATGCAGCCCAAATCAAACAGCTCAACTCAAGTTGAAAACATTTGCCAACACAAAGTGGAGAGCGCTCTGTTCTCTCGCAGGCTATAATCCTGTTTTCCACAATGGACCACTCACTCTGCACTTGTTTTCCTCAGGAGGATAATTATAGGGCTGTAGTCACACACCGCTTTGGAGCCCTCTTGCTTTCTCCCTCACACACACACAGTTTCAGCAGAGGGTTAGCCAGAGCAAAGTGTCCTATGACTTGTTATCCCATTAGCAGATCATCACACACTACAGCTTGCAGGATGAAGTGATAGTCTGAGACCTGGCATGATCACTAATGGTCAGAGAGGCTAATAGAAAGGAGCCAGATAACTCCTGGATTCACTGACCAGACATCATACTCCAGGTCGTAGGCTGTGTCATTCCATCAGTGTGATGAAACGCTAACCATTAACGGAGTCAAACGAACAAAACAACTGGATGTCGTGGAAATGTTGTCCATCCACAAGTACTACAGTCTAGTTTTGGTTATCTGATATAAAGAAGATCTGCTGAACTGCTCTATGAGGACCAACTGAAAATGCCAACAAACCATTTTTTGTAGAAATGATTTATCTGAGTTGTAGTGTAGTCATTTACTCAACACTGGGGACTAAAGCGCTTTAAACATGAACCTCAACCAAAACATTTTCTGGACTTTGAAGAAGGAGCTGTATGTGATAATGCAAATGTCCAATTAAGACTGCCCTGACTTATAGACTTGACCCTCTCAGCTAGAACTTAGTCCTTGTAATGTCAAAAAGAGCCCATGAGTGAATACAGCCACTTATTGTCTGGAGAATTCACAGTGAGCCAATACGCGTGTTGATGACATTTCCAATCGTGGCTGCCAGGACATAGGAAGAAAACGAACATCCGCATTTCAAAGTCAAGTCAAAGTCAACTTTATTGTCAATCTTTCAGTTTGTGTGTGTACAGACAGAGAGATCAAAATACCGTTTCCCACAATCCTGAATACAAAAAAATACAAATATAAAAATATATATGTATTTATTTGTATTCGGGATTGTGGGAAACGGTATTTACGGAATAACAATCATTTACATAACTGGAGAGCTGACGAGATTTAGAAAGATATGTCTGTAAGGGGCCGACGCCCCAACTTCTTTAATTGTGTTAAGACTTGAGAGGATAGTTCGAAGCATTGTCCCCACTACCAGTTTTTAAAGTGTCTTTTCTGTTCACTTCAGTTTTCTGATAAGTGTCCCATCCCATACAGCACTGATATCAGGTGTAGTTTTTAAGACTTTAAAGAACTTTCTTCAGAGCTACAAATTATTCAGCTGTTGCCTTGGGCAGAATAATAGTCTGACAATTCTCCATCATACATTTATCGGATAAATTGGACCAAAAAAAAATGCCATACAAATGTGTATGAAACAATAACTTTCCATTTACTGCAGAATAATTGCAAAGCTCTTACTTTACGCACAAAAGAAGAAGGACATTTTTTTTATCACAATGTATATATGCCTTTAGTTAAATAAAACCATATTTAAATATGAAAACAATGTCCATATTGAATGTGGAGATCAAAAGTTATGAAAAAAGCAAAGATTATTGCAGTTGTGATTATTGAGACACTGGATAAACTCAGCATGCACCTGAACTCCTCTGGTGTTGGAACATCATGGAGAATTGTAATAATCCATTGAGGAATATTGTTTTAATACAACAATAACCCCGGGGCTGCACACCAACCTAAACTCTTAAACACAGCTACACAGACAGAGCTTCGCAGAGCGGAGATATAAAGCTTGAAGCGCTGACGGGACAGAACAGCAGCTCCTACAGCTTCCATATCTTCCACTTTAGAGATATTAGTACTACCAGCTGACCCACATTACATTTTCCCTCCAACCTGCCTGTCGGAGGCTCACCGAAGCACAGTATGGACACATTTTCCCAGAGATGCTTTTTTTATTTTTAAAATGAGGACAATTTGATTCAGTTATTACTGATGAGGGCAGAGATTCCCTCAGTGGTCAGAGAACATCCATAATCAGCAGTTAGGTCTCCATCCACAGACCTGAAGTAATTATTGTCTCAAGATAAAAACGGAAAGCAGTGGGTTTTTTTAGAGGAGAAAATAAACTAGAGATAGAAATGACCTTAATATTATTTCTCTCTGGGTATTTCCAATAAGAGTATTCCATCGGAGGGATTGATAAAAGGATTATGCCGCAAGCTTTATGCGGATGGAGTCAAATCTGGATATGGAAGGAGAACTGTTTGATTGAATAATTCTTGTTTCCTTTCTGCCATGCTAGCAGTCCTCTTAGGGAAAAGTAAAAATCAGCATTATGCCAGATTTATACATGTGCTCCTCTCACTGTCAGTCAGTCTCCTCTACTGCATGTCTGACTGCCAGCGCCTGTCTGTCTGCAGGTCTGACTGCTGAGGACGATGTAAAAACACAACTAACAAAATACACATTCAATCTGTATTTTTGCCTGGCCACTTATTTTAAAGAGGCTTTGTCACATATTCTAACAGGAAAAGCAAACGTTGAAATTCTTCTTTACATGTGCTTTTCTCAAATATCATAGTATGAAAGTATTTGATCTTGCACGCACTACATTTAAAATAATGTACATCTTGAAATTAGAAGCAGAAAGTAAACTGCAATGTTACTGATACCACTCACGGTAAATTATTCAGCAATAAACTCTAGTCTCACTTTAAGAACTACAATTTCATTGTTGAGCCCTTTACTCCATCCAGATGCCATTCTGCCACTCAAACCTAATGAGAAATATATTTGAAGAGTTTTGTACATGTGGGGTTTAATTTTCCAATTCTCTCAAGCGTCTCTCAATGTTAAAGGGATAGTGGAAATCCGCGAATTTTGGGTTTAACTTATGTATTTTTATTAAAAATAAGCATAATAAACAATTTTTTTTAATTTCATGCGCCTAGTTTCATTTTATTTTCAATTTTACTGCGCCCTCTCAATGAAACGAAATACTTCGGGAATCTTCGGGTGATGACGAGAGCATAGGAAGACGGGCACAAACAATGGCGGACATTCAATAGCATTTGCATGTGAATAGCCGAGTATATTGCCATAAATATGATGATTGATTATCAGTAAAAAAATTCTACGTGACACAACGACATTGGATTAACCTTGAGATGCGTTTTTATTCCGTTGAACACAACTTTTGATCACAAATCAAAAAAGGTAAGACGTAATTATTGTAATATTTTTGGAACCGGATGTTGTTTACTTTCTCTTTTCTGGCTGATAGCTATAGGAATTCGAGGTCTTACAGTGATGACATTACATGTGTGGAATCTGTGGATTCTCAGCTTTAAATCGTATATCTTGTTTGTGCAGTTAAGATAGTAATAAGGGCATTTCTACCGTGTGTTGTGTGTAAAAAAGCGTTAGCATTAGTTAGCATTGTTTCGCTCAATGCTAATTCAAAGGCTTGGTATTACGCTTGTGTTTTTTCTAGCTAACAATTGTTCTTATTGTCAGTTAGCGGAGTTTCTTACCTTTAAAAGGGTATGAAACATTAATAGTTTCATAAATGTTAAGAAGCCCTGAGACATGTGAGAGAAAAAAAACTGTGGGAGGGGTCCACTGGGGGGACCTTCGGGCTTAACTGGTTAACAATGATTAATATTTGTAAAGGCTACAGGTGATCTTAAGATGCGTGAGCTATGCTTAGGGACCTACCAGTCAAGATTATTTGTGCGTAGGGGTGCATCATCTGGCGCCTGGTCCTAGTCATCCTCGCCATTGCCCATGCCGTGAACCATCACCTCGGGCTCGGGCTCGAACAAATAAGGACGTAATAGTCCATCGTCTGGCTCAATATTGTCACCATCGTCGCTTACTGAACCGGATTCAGATTCAGTTCCTAAAACGACATTTTCGTAGGAAAGCCGAGAGGATGTTTCTGACTCGCTAGCATCACTGGATACCTCGTACAATCCTTCTTTTTTGTCTGGTATATTTGCCCTTCCACGTTCATTCTGCATAGACGCCATGGTTTGTTATCGTAT